TTTTTTGCTTTTCAATTGTGGCTTCATGGAGCCTATTAAACGAAACCATTTGTTCAAACGCTTTGAATTCTGTTGTGCCTTTCAAAATCTACAAGATGGGGGAATAAACAAAAGAAATCACTCAGTTAAGTGCAGGTCACATTACACAACGATCTTGTTATCAGGAAAGTTGCATTTAGGAGTTACCTAAAATATAAGTTAGCACATCTACTGTAGCTTTGTTCTTGCATTGTAGGTCTGTGCTTAGCTGCAGGTGTATAGTTACTTTTAATGCTTTTAAAGAATGTTTTTTGAGGGGTGTTCATAAAGGGATAGTTCTCGCACCACGTGCACAACTTTAGTTTCTCAGTCATTTACTTGTAGTGCCAAACCTGACGGAAGAACGTTGGAGACCAAATCGTTTTGTTTGCATAGCCTTCCATTTATATGGACAAATACAATGGGAACCGAAGCGTTTGGTCGCCAGCGTCTTTCTAGATTTTAGACATTTGGAATTTAAATTAGGGCAAGTTTCTTTTTTTGGGTGAACGCTCTAAAATTGTAGTGCATCTTAAAGGGTCAGAAATGTACGTTTAATTTTCTAGCTTCCTGTCGGCTTGGTTTAAATGTGTTCTTGACGGGGCCGTCTCTAAAGAATTGAGAGCTTTTTAGCCCTGCATGTTATTTCCAATGAGAAGAATAGAGGTTTAGAGTCATGTTCTTAATGTCACAATTTAATAAATGGCTATAAAAATACAAATACTTAAATTTAACTGCTCAAACAAATGAAGAACAGCAGAATTCTAAACTGTAGAGTGTGTTTGGCTTTGAAGACTAATTGGGTTTGTTACTGAAGTGTTGCACCTTGCTAACTAAATGGAGTTCAAACATGTTGCACGACTGCCTGTGTCCTCATGATCAAATGGAAGAACAGTTTAATGGGAATAACCATCAGTGCTGCTAGTTAGCTGAGTAGAGTGAGTTATTAAGTGTGTTTCACCCAAACAATGCTTGATTTGAACCCAAGCGCTCTGGATGAGTTTCCTCAAACACGTCCTTGGAGCTTGAAGCGTTGCATCTCCTGAAGTGAATCCTGACTCTGGCTGCTCTGTTCGTTAGCCTGTGTGCGCGAGGTAACCTTCCTTTGCTCTCCTGTTCACTTTAAGTTTAAGTATTTGTAGCTCTGACAGCACAGCGCAGATCTTAAGGCCTCAGATGCGTTAAATTCCCACTCATTTCTCCCCATGCATTGCCAACCATTCTAGAAAGACCTTAAATTGTCTCACCAACACATTTATTTTCACCAATGTAGTTAAATTTGAGAAACGCCAAATTAGTTCCAAAGACACTGTAGTTAGTTTTGATGTCTGTGATTCCTGCGTTTGAGTGTT